ATCTGTGCTCACTTTCCGAGGCGCCGTGCTCGACGCTGCTGAACCATGGCGCCGTCGCCGACGACGACCCCGCTCGTGACCAAGGGCACGAACTTCGGCGACAGCCAGTACAGCGTCCTCGAGGTCGACCAGAAGGGCAAGGACGCCATGGAGAAGATCCCCAAGCCCAAGGGCCCGATCATCTGGGCGACGTCGAACAGCCCGGGCTTCGGCAACGTGCCGGGCCTGCCCTCCAACGCGGAGAACCCCGCGCTCAAGTAAGGCTGAACCCCGCCGCGGGACGCTCCGGCGGCGGGGCGGCGCCGCCGACGGAGCGCCGCGCCGCCGCCGCCTTCGCTCGAGTCCCGCGCGCGGCGCGCGGCGCGGCCGGCGAGCGCGCCCCTCCACGAAGACTAAGTGATTTTTCTTATTCTCCGCGCTTGTGTGCGCAGCCCTGCTCTGGGGCGCGGTGCGGCCGGAAGCTCGCGGGAGGGGCCGGCCGGCCTTTGCCCTTTGGCCGCGACGGGAGGATAGGCCTGAGGATTCCACTGAGATAGCTCACGGAAACACGATTGTAGCAGGAAGAAGAAGCACGAGTGCGGTCCGCCTTACGAGCGAGCGGGCCCCCGCGGTCGGCGGCGGCGCGGCGCGCGTCCCCGCGGGGCGGGCGCGCGGCGCCTAGCTCTCGACGAGGTTCGCCGGGACCTTGGCCGCGGCGAGCTCGTCGCGCATGGCGTCGATGGTGACCTTGTAGTCCTCCTCGGTGCGGGGGTCGCGGAAGATCGCGGACCCGGCGACGAACATGTCGACGCCGGCCTCGGCGACCTCCTTGATGTTGGCCCCCGAGACGCCGCCGTCGATCTCGAGGCGGATGTCGTAGCCCGACGCGTCGATGAGCTTGCGGGCCTCGCGCGCCTTGTCGAGCGTCGCGGGGATGAAGGACTGGCCGCCGAAGCCGGGATTCACGGACATGAGGAGGATGATGTCGACCTTGTCCATGACGTACTTGAGGATGTCGAGGGGCGTCGCCGGGTTGAAGACGAGGCCCGCCTTGCAGCCCGCGCCGCGGATGAGCTGGAGCGTGCGGTCCACGTGGGGGCTCGCCTCCGGGTGGAACGTGATGTACGACGCGCCCGCGTCCGCAAAGTCGCCGACGATGCGGTCCACGGGCGACACCATGAGGTGCACGTCGATGGGCGCCGTGACGCCGTGCTTGCGCAGGGCGCTGCAGACCATGGGGCCGATGGTGAGGTTCGGCACGTAGTGGTTGTCCATGACGTCAAAGTGCACGACGTCCGCGCCCGCGGACAGCGAGTTGACGACCTCCTCGCCGAGGCGCGCGAAGTCGGCGCTGAGGATCGACGGCGCGATGAGGAAGTCCTTGTCGGGCTCGATGAGCTCCATGCGCATCGACGACTTGGCCGCGGGAGCGCGGAGCCGCGGGAGCGCCTTGGGCGCGACGAGCGCCGCGGCGGAAGACGCGGCGAGAGCGAGGAGGAGGGCCTGCATGATCTGCGGCGGGGAGATGGGATTAGATGAAGTAGTTATGTTGCACGGGCACCGAACGACGCACTGAGATCGAGGACAAAGAGGGGCTACGCTCGTACGCTCGGGACTCGAATCACGACGCTCTGACGTTGCTGCTCGCGGCAACTTGACGTCAAGCTGCACTCGCTGACGCGATTTTTTTGCTTGCGACGGCACAGAACACCAGGGATACCAAGCTTCGTATTCTCAACGTAGGGCACGCCTTGTACGCGCTTGACACAGCCCCCCGTCGCCGCGAGCGACGCGACGCGGCGCGGCCGGCAAGACGGCCAGTGAAATTGAGATTGCAGGGAGGCTCGTTAGTTAGCAGGGGAAAGGGGGGGGATGTGTGTGTGTG